TTAACTGGTCCCGGAGTACTATCTGAATCGCACTCTTTCTAATTTTATTATACAAGGTGATAATAAGATTCGCAATCAAGTATGCACCAAAAGGTGATATTGGTTTTGGGTGCCGAACTGCATGCTTTGCCATGAAAGCGCATTGGACCTTGCAAAGAAACAAGAAAGCATTAGAGAATTTGTGAATATGTTCAGTTATTCGTCCAGTACTTCGCTTGGCCTTGCTAGTCCTGACACACAAACGTCGGAGCTGCGCCACATTTTTGGAGAGATCAGAGTGATGCTGCAAGGCAAAAAGTACATCCTTGAATGAGTCATCTGGCTTAGTTCCTCCCGCCCACCTCAAAAAGAGCGCGTTTCGAATTACAACAATTAAGTGCACTTTGCACTTCTGCATTATCTGTATCGTTTTTGAGAGAAAAGCTATCCGCACATATTCAGCTGCAACTTGTACGATAGACTTCATCAGAATTTGTTTCAATTGCCTAGTCAGCCACAAGCAAAGTGCTCTGAGTTCTAATGGGAATGAATGTCAGAGAGCCCTTGTGCTAAAGTTCTTGCATACACGTTCGAGTTGAAATCGCCGAAAAGGTAGATGTTTGGTGCAGCTCTCAAAATTAAGAGCTGGAATAGAGATAGACTTTGACATGAAGAAAATGTGATAAAGAATGTGTTCGCGTTCGGAAACCTGCTATTAATTTTTCTTTAATTTTTTCTACAATTTCATAGAACGGAGTTGGTTAATACTTGGTTTTTCCCTATAGCAAGTTGAATTTGGACAAGGTTGTTTCACTTGATTTAACTTCTTTAATTGTATGCATGTGCCCTGAAACGTTTGCACAAGTGCTTATGGAGATGCTAAATTCGCGCACGGCGCTGCGCGATCATATCCCAGTGCACAGCAGTCCTGTTCCTAGAACTTACCCTTTGAAAAGTTGTTGAGGCTCTTTGACTGCTTGAATAGCGATATCTATTACAGCTAATGACTTCTTTTGAAAAGTTACTATATTTAAATTTCAGAATCCTCCGCTACATCGCAGTAATCTTACCGTAAAGGGCAGGACAAAACAAGTATGGATCAAAATTTTTGCATATTATTGACTAGTTCTACAAGAACATGATTGTCTATGCCGCAGCTACCTATATTTACAGTAACCCATGAACTGGAAATTGGACTCCCCATCTCGTAAGGATTTTAAAAGAGCAAGGATGTTGCGCTTTCTACCACTAATCCATTACTTGCAGTACAGTTCAAGCAATTACGTAGCTGCGTTGTCTTTTACCCTTAGCCACCCAAAGAGGCTGCCTTAAAATTGGGTGCACAACCTTTAGAAGCGCAGTGATACTCAAATTTATACACTTACCTACTGCTGCCATAAGCTTTGGAAGATAAGCCTTCCAGAATGCGCAGTGCTTCCTCCGCGGTCCATGACCAGTTCGCCTACTGCTGGGATATGCTGATTCCACTGTCAGATTCATATATTCCATCGACTGCGCATTGTACTTTGGCCAAACGTCTGGCGTATAAGTACCATCCTCATTTTTGTTAGGATCACTAAATAAAAGTAAGAACGTATTTGTGCTCTTGTCTTCAAATTTCTCTACTCACCCTGTTCTCGCGAAGTTGGCCCAATACCGCATAAATCTACTGCTAAGTTCTTGCTCTTCAGTAGAGTAGTTGAACTTCTTATTGTAAGGTTCACCAAAAATGAAATTTATCTCATAACCATGCATACAGCCCATCCATTCCGGCCATGTTTGCGCTGTTGCTCTGAAGTGAATTCCTTTTGGTGGAATGCCAAAGGTGCGGAATGAAAACTCTAACCTGTGGGTGAAGTAGTAATAATAAGTATCTCCACCATGCTTCGTGTGAGCCAGGGCCATTTCATTTACATTACAGGTGAAATGGTAGTCTCCAAGCATTTTCTCCATAGAGTCGATCCAGTCGCGGGCTTTTACTAGAGGTGCTGTATGGATTTTTTCTTTTCAAAAACTTGTTGATTTTCGCTGCCATACAACTTAGCCTGATACAAAATGTCCAAAAAAGCGCTAGATTCTCATCCCCCAACGGATCTTCTAAAGCTTCTCGTTAGGATACGACTACGGTAAAAAGTCGTAAGTGGTTTTATCGCTGCCACTTAACACTCAAAAGACTTTGATTCAGAACAATAAATTGTCTCAAATCATGCTTATTATACTACGGAACTCTTTCAGACAGTTTCCTAGCGTACTAGAACTATGAGCCTATGCCAATGAGAACTTTAGCCACATTAAAAC